CGAAATGACTAACCAACCATCAGAGCATCCTGATGGTCTGCCACAGTATTTCAACTAAAAAATTAAAAAGTGAAATCTGTTCAATTCATATGTGACATTGATTTATTCACATAATATAACATTCCACAGTACGTTCTTACTGGTGGTAGCATCCACCAGAAAAATGAGACATGTGCTGCTAATTTATTTCAATAACCTACCAAACACTGAGTGCAGTCCGGTGTTATTTTACTCTTCCCACAAATGGAACAGATCATATTATTCTATTTTTTTTCCTCCTGTTTTGTACTTTTTTCCTCTCACTCTGCCTAGTGACTTACAGAATCCCTGTACAATTATTCAAATTCAGCACTGTAAAGATAAAGTATTATTGTTCTTTTTTCTCCAGTGAAAGTGAGGACAAATATTTTTGTCCTCAGTAGCAGTTTCATTAGGCATTACATTTTTAACATATGTTTAAACCCATGATTTCAGTTGAACTTCTGAACTTTTTTCAAAATAAAGGCTTAAGTTCAGGAAAACACACACATTGTGCCAAGCTTATACTCTGTAGACCTCTTACTCCTACTGCTTTCCTGCTATTGCCATGCTTCCACCATCAACATATGTGAGCCTCATTAATTTCACAGATACATGTTTTTTTACCCAGAAAATGTAGCATGATGGAATAAAATGAAGTCACCATGAACTAAATCCTAAATCTTGCAAGATTTTATGGGTATTCTCAAGATAAATTTAAATCTGACTTTGTGTCACCTCCTGCTTGGCAACCTTACCTCAGTTGCCTGTCATTCCTGTCTGATGAATTTCATGTTGTTTCTTTTCTGTCAAGTGTTAGCTTCAAGGTAAGAAGCATAAATGTGCAATTGTTGCAGCGGCTCCAAAGTAAATGATGGAAGAGGAGAGGGAAAAGAAGTATCACTGCTCTCACTATACAAAAATCTGGCACAGAGAAAGCAATGGGAAAGAGTGACAAATATTGAGTAGGGATGATAAATTCCCAAAGAATCTATTAAGCTATATCTTAGAAGATGCTAACTGCAATGTATTTTTTTATTATTCCTTTGTTATAAAGACTTAAAACTTCTGTCCTTGTTTTCTTTCTTTTTTTTTTTTTTTTCTTTTTTTTCCTTTTGGTGGCACTTGACTAGAATATTGTGGCACCCAAACAATTTTCAATTGAATCAAGCTTGAAAAAGACCTTCAGTAAAATCTCATCCCTGCTAAAATAATTTAAAATTTTGACTTTGTGTCCCTTGAAAATTGCACCACATAAATTAGGGATGTATTGGCAACAGGTGGATTTTTCAGAGCACAAGATTCTGGAGTATTTTCTTGGACTCTTCTAGAACAGTTTCTTTAAAATTTATGTGACCTATTTGATACTGTCATCATAAAATTCTTAAAATAAACCCAGATGGTAAAGAACAGAAAAAGGTAGAAGCAGCAGCTTGTTTCTAATCATCTTTGGCCTGTCATCCAAAGTGGAAACAAAAAGAGGTAAAACTTTTTTCTACCTCATCAATTCACAGAGGAATTAGAGTTCCCAAGTCTAGGTTCAATTTAGTGTATTCAGATTTCAGCACATGAATTTTAGTTTCAGGATTGATTAGACTAAACTTTGGGTTTAATATAAACCCCCTTTTTTTTGAGGCTATTGCTAAAATTGATGACTTTTTAACAAAGATTCAGCTCAAGCAACTTCAGTTGGAGAGGAATCCATTTGCAGAAATGAATGGTCATTATGGATCCATCATATCATCAATTATAATGCAATATTAAGTCACTTCCAACAGTACATTTTGATAGTATGCATTTTGGTTGCGTACTAATATATGAGCCAAATCACATTTTGCAGTTTTAAAGGGATGCATTTTATCTCATATGTAATCCTTCCATGGTTTCTAGGGAGCTAAAGAAATGAAAACTATCAGTACCACTCTCAGTATTCTACAACCCGTGAAAGACACTAGTTCTAATTTACTGAATGAGAAGAAAAACAGTGCATACCTGAAGCCTGCCTTTTGATGAAAATTTGAAATTAAGTCAGTTAGATCAGTCAGCATATTGATATTTAATCTCTTCTTTAATAGTCAGAATATAATTTTCTATTTCTCTGCATTAAAACTGTAACTATCTTGTTGCATAATAATACAAGAGTTATCTCACATTGTGCAATGACTGATAGTCCAACCACTGCAGGCAAATTGTGTTTGCCTGCAGACATGGTCTTCTATCCTCCATTATGTTTACTCTCTTAGCAACACTTCCTTTCAAAGATGATGATGTCAAGACATTTTGGTTTTGCTTCTATTCCTGCCTTTTTTTAATCTTCTTGTTCTCTGGTAGATACCAGCTATACTGATGATTCTGCAACTGAGTCACATCGCCTTTGTGTCAGATGAGGGCATATTAGAGCATGACAGAAAAGATTTTGACATTATAATTAAAAAATTTCATTGAACGATAGACTCAAAGATGAGATTTTGGAGCCAGGGACTCACCTTTCACAACTGTAAGATACATATGGTAACATTGGGAGAGAAAGACATGTTATTCTCACCCATGTTTCTGGGCTTTGAACCATCAGATGATTATTTTCAGCCAGCTTGTGTGAAAAAGTAAAACAATTCAGATTTTCTGGTTGAGACTAGTATGCTTTTTGTCAAAATAGCCAGGCATTTCTTTGGCAGATTTATTAAGAGAAACTCTCTCTGGCCCCTCAAAGACACCAGTGACAGGATATACATATCTCCTTAGGTATTAAAGTCTGAACTCACCACCCTAAGGCCCCTTACCAGTCAAAGGAAAGAAAGACATGTCCTGAGGGAATAAATCTCATCCAAAAAGAGATGTCAAAAGTAAATCATAAGGATCACTCTTGAAGCATTCTGCTTTAAGAGCTTTAAAGTTAGGCAGAATAAATCACACCCATATCTACAGAGTCCAGACTGACACCCTGGTAAAGGAAATACTTTCCAAAAAAATTTAGTTTTTATAGTGTGTCTTGTTTTCATCTGCTTCACTCATGAGAATATGTGAGTTAACATTTCTATCAGCTACATAGTATTTAAAAGGAACAAATTATTTTCCATAACCCCTAGATAGAATTAGAAAGTTAACTGAAAACTAAAAATCAATCAATTTGTACAAAATTTCAAATAAAGTCCTATAGCCTGTTTCTTTGGTACTGGATGCCACAGTAAGGGAGAATGTGAGCCAATGCTAACATGTGAGGAAAAATGCTAACATCAACAGTATGTGTATGTCAATAACAATCTTGTAAAGAAAGAAAATATAGGGACTTCTAATCACATCTCATCATTGTTCCGAGCAACAGTTTGGGTTTTTTCTCCTCTGTGTTTCTAATGCTTCTTACACTCACTTATCACATATGCTGTCAAATAACTAATTCTTTCTGAAAACTGACAATTTAAAAGTATATTACAGAAAAGACAGTCTCATTGTTTTCCATAAACTCATATGGGGTATGAACAATTAGGACAGTTCTAAAAACAGATTCATGGATAATTGTCATAAGGCCTAACTCTCACAGTTACTTTTCATGATGTCTTTGAGATGAAGTAAATACAAAGACTGGCATAACAGTTGTATAATTTACTATTTCCACTTTATAAAACATCAGAAACATTGTTTCTGTATTTTATGGAAACTAGTGTGGAATTATAAACTGTACTTATTTTTAAACTGAAAATATTTCATGTAACAACACTGCAATACTAAAATTTGTTACACTAAGCAACCATAATTATATTATCATCAGAACTACATAAAGCATTATCAGATAAAATTTAGGTGCATCTATCTATTGTTATAAGTAAACACACTACTTTAAGTAGCAAGAATTACTAATAGTCTGAACTAAAGATGACAAGAGAGAAAAACATCACCCTCATTTTACAGGATGCCTAGTGAGACAAGAGAGGTTCTATATAGCAACAGCATTGTAAGGATAAATAAATAGCCATAAAGTTGGCTTGTACTGAGTGGAAGCTTGCAGATGGTGGATGAATTCATGTCTGTCAAGTTTTTATAATACAATGACTTTTACATATTGCTGCCAGATGGAACATAGTTTTGCATCTTGAATATAAATCTCTGAGAAATACAACTTCCTTCAGTGTGTTCTCTGTATTTGAAACAAAAGCAAATTCAGAGGCAGGTTTGGGATGCTAAAGCAGATTTAAGGAAATCTGAGAGAATATAAATTAAATTCTCAAGGGCTTCCTTGTTATAACTCAATTCTAAATAATGGAGCTACCCATGTGTTCAGTATTTTTTTGAGGAAAAACAGGAAAGGTATCATATAGACTTCTACAGGCAAAACTATGTGTCATGTATAAAATGCAAAATATATCCTAGGCAGGTCCAGAAGATCTCTCAATTAAACTTACTAGTAGTTTGGCAAAACTTTGCATAACATTTACTCTTGCTTCAATAGAGGTATTTGTCCCACAAGATCAGATCATAGAAGTACAGTGGATGAAGCATAAATGCATTTAATCTTTGCTGATAATGAACATCTGTATCTATACCACAAAAGCATTGCCTTTCTCCATGTGTTGCCTAAACAGACCTAATATCTAATTCAGATATGACTATACCAGTCTTTACATAGATGCGCTTTCTTAAACTATCAAGGAAGCACATAATTATTTTCTTTTATATGTGCTTACCCATCAAACCTGGCTTTCTCCTATGTGTCTGGTCTTCATTTCTAACCCTAGCTGGTATTGCTGAAGAAGTGAGTAACTCTGATAGCAATGAAATGAACTATATGACTGTAGGGGAGAACATTTTCCCATTCAATGATTTCTCATAAAATCTGATTTGTTGACAAACTTGAGTTGACTTCTCTCAGCCAGCCTCAAGCATTGTTTATATGCAGATAATTCTGTGTGTGAACCCATTAGGCTTTTATGACAGTTATAATCAAATATGATTGGGAAATCTTCTGGCTTACTTGGATCCATACTTACATTGTGCTTTGTGAGGTTGGAAATGTTACTTGCTATTGCTTGTAGCCAGTCAATACAGTCTTCAGCAGAGAGACACTGAATTATTCCACTGCAAACCCCATCCACAGCAATTACTTGGAACGCATTTTGCCTATAGACATGTCATAACAAATCAGGTCAGAAGAAAATTTCATCTGTTCTAGCATACCACCTTAACAATACTTGTAGAAATGCCTTTCTTTCAACTACAACGAAGGTCAGCTACTGAACATTGATAGATTCCTGGCTTTCCTGTTTTATAAATACCTGACATATTAAAACAATCATGATAAAAGGTCAACTCACACTATATTGTTTCCCTAAAGCTACAGAAAAATTCCATTGACTAGCTCCACAGAACCTTGATCAACACTGCCTGACTTCAGGAGCCAAACAAGTGAAATAGCTGATGCATCCTAAAGAGTTAAGACTTTAAGACTGTAGATTACAGAGAAGTAAAGTGTGCATTGGACACTGTAGGCAATAATTTGCCAAATTCAGTGGAATCCCAGTACCTATTTCTCAACGTTTGTTTCATTTTTCTAACACATTTTTTTAAACACAGTAAGGCTCCTGTCTGGATATGCTTTGTTCACTGCTCTTCATTATAAAATTTTGATCTGATTCTAAACTACTGATAAAAAAGCTGGAGAATTCAAAATTGATCATTCCAATTGCATTTCTAAATATAGGATCATTAGCAAAATACACTGGAATGCCAAGAGATGTCCAATGATAAAAGCAGTGGCCACCTGGGTGCCTCTACCCCAGCACCAGTCAAGGCACCTACAAAATAATCTGTCACTTTCTGATCTGAGTGCTGAGCAAATACAGAACAAGAGAAAAAATTTAGATACTAAAGCAGTAGCATACCTCATTTCTTCAGTAAATAGCCTTCTTGACTAACAGCCTTTGGAAGGCTCACAGGTGTCTGGCTTCAGAACCAGAAAAACCTCAATATTAATCCATACCCCACAGTAAGAGATTGCTAAATATACAGAGACTACCAAATTCCACTGAAGGCATTCTGCTATAAATCCATCGTTAGTGATCAATTCATGGTTTAAATTTAAGTAGATCATTCAGATTCTTTCAGAATGTCTCAGGCAAAGTGAGTGTTATCTTCAGTGTAAAACTGAGTATCACTGATGACAGTTTCTGACATCTCAAGGCAGCTATCCATTCTGCAAAGGTGTGGGGTTTTCTGTCTTGAAATGATATTCTAGTTGTATAGAATGTAGAGCTAATATCTCTACTATAAAGGTCTTTGTTGCATCTGTGTCAAGTACAGGCTTTTCCTTCAGTCAGGAATAGCATTAAAAATGAATTAAAGCCTTTGCTTTTTGAGTCCCATCATGAGAACTAGCACTTATAGAAGGATAAGCAGATAATATCCTAACATGATCATATGGAGACCAGTGGTTTATCTAAATCCACCAGCTCACTTATCATTTTAGTTGCGTTTTCACACGGATAGTGATTTTTCTTTAAAATCTCAGAGGTATAATTTCAGGTACAGTGTCTCATTTTCACAGTAATTCAGGTAAACTTTTTGAGAAAGATTTATGTAAAGCATCTTCAAGTATTGTAGCTACCATTTATTGACTATATCCTTTATTTTAAATGGTTATAAATATAAATACTAAATTCTTCCAGAATAAAATCCTAAGTAAATCCTTACATAAGAGCATAGCATGATGCACAAATTTTTTGCTTATCCCTTTCAAGAAAAATAGCATTATTTTCAGGACTCCCCGTCTTTCTACTGAGCTTGTTGTAAACCAAAGTACAAATCCAAGGAATCTATTAATGTGTGACATTAAGCTGCACAAGCAAAGAAAATCCAGTATGTTCCAGATTCAATCCTGATGCTTAAATTTCCCTTACAGTACAAAAACTGTGAAACTGATGCATTTGGAGCATCAGACTGTTCCTACTCTTCCTAGGTATTTGATCTGTGCACATACAAGACTTCATTGAGAATATTTCTGCAGCAGTATCAATAAGCAGAGTATAAGAATGCATAGCTGCCTAAAAAATTACTTCTGAATGTGTTTGAGAAGTAGATATCCTTAGTCTTAGATTATCGTAATAGTATTTTCTTGAATCAGTCTACCAATCGAAGTCCATAATACCATACAAACCTGAAAAAATAATTTATTAAGTATGTATTTTGTATTAAATAGAACAAGTAGGAGATTAATTAGTTTATACTACAACAAAAAAAGTTAAGATCTGATGAATTCTTATTCAACTACACATCTCAGTTTCCATGCATTCTAGAACTCAAGAGTTATATTTAAAATTAATAAGCTTTCCAAGATTAACCTGAGTGCTCTCTGGAATTTTATATGAACACCTTCTGGAATTCATGCATTTCAAGAATCCCACTGGAAAAGCTAGAATACAATTATGAGGTACAACAGGGCATGTGATAACAATATGATGTATTTCTGTGCCAGTCTTTTCAACCTCTGAACCATAAAAAGTTATTAGGCTTTATATAGTGAAAACAGCTTTGTAAATATTAAATACAGAAAATGTAATTAATTACGTTCCATTTAATGTCTTCTTATTTTCAATATCCTTTCCTTAATGTTGCTCTTTATAGCAGTCTCTTTTAAAAATAATCTACGTTTCTTTCATAAAATTTTGAGGAGTCACATTTTAAAATATTTACACAAATTCAAAAGACCCTTATAAACTGTCTTGCTAGCAAGATAAAATGTTTGCTCTATGCTTTTATGAAGAAAACACCACTTACTTTCTCATACTTATGCTGCATTTTTGTTTCCTTTAAGTACTCTTACTGCCTCATGTTAGAGAGCACAGAAGGCCAAGAAGAAAATTGAATGGCTATTCAAGGTCTGAGTATGAGTTCAAGTATTTTGTTTTATATGTATATTCTCTTAAATTTATTTTCTGGAAATTCAAATATCAGAAATAACATTACTACATAAAAATATTTCTCTGTAATGTACAATTTGTACAATTTGATCTTTAAGCTTCTGTTTTATTGATGCAGAAGACTGACTTTTAAACTCCTACACCTATGAATAGTTGAATATGTCCTATATGTCCAAATTTTCCATGTGAGTAGTTCAATTCAATATCTTACCTGCAGAAGACATCTCAGATTTGACTGTTATGATTCTGGGCCCTTTATGATTCATGCTCTTAATTATTTCCATTTCAACCATTGTTAAGAATTTTGCTGAAGTTTTTCACAGAATTTAATAAAAAACCCTCATGTGTCTGTGGTGACTGTATCCATTTCCCTCTCAGTTCAGGCAATAAGTCATTGTAGCCTTTGGTTAACACGATGACTCTCTAGGCCATCCATTGTTCCTCAACAGTACAAGGGTCATGCAGACAAGTAAATATGATTTTGCTATTACCAGTCAAAAGCTGCAGGCTTTTTTTAGCTTCACAGTTATCTAGTGGTGAAATTACTATTGCCCAACCTGCTTTAATTTCATATCTGTGAACAGGAAAAAAGCTGGCAGACCTAATTAGTGTATTTCTAAGGAACAACAGCCCTTAGAATTAACAGAGATGGTGGGACGCTGTTGTGCAACTTCCAAATGTTTGCTGAAAACCAATGAGAAGGAGTCAGGCTCTGATAAGAAAAAATAAAATTCACCCCACACAAACCTCAAACTGAGGTTGAGGAACACTCCTCTTCCCCTACTTTCCGGGGCAGATTAGAAACTGACCCCAGAGGGCAGATGGTATCACTTGACTGTAGGACTCATAGAAACACTGTAAGGGTGACAATAACAACAGAGATACTGGGGAGGTTCTGTCACAAAAAAAGTACTTCCAAGAATATAAATTAAGCTTTTCTGTATTAATTAGGTATTTTACATGTGTCTAAAAAGAGGAACAGGAAATTTTAAATCACTAATGCCTGGTGAAACATCAGGATGTAATATAAGAAAGACCAGGGAGAGCCTCCATCCCCTGCTAGATGCAGGAAGGAACATGGTAACAAATGATGAGGAAAAGGCTGAGGTACTTAATGCTTTCTTTGCCTCAGTCTTTAATAACAAAACTGGTTGTACTGATGGAATCCAGCCTCCTCAGCCAGAAGACAGAGACTGGGATAACGACCCTCCCACATTCCACGAGGAGACAGTGACCTACTGCATCACGTAGACAAACACAAGTTTATGGGACTGGATGGGATACACCCGAGGGTGCTGAAGGAGCTGGCTGGGGTGCTCGCCAAGCTGCTTTCTATCATTTACCAGTAGTCCTGGCTGACCGGGGAGATCCCGACTGATTGGAAATTGGCCAGTGTGACACCCGTATATAAGAAGAGTTAGAAGGATGATCTGGGAAATTACAGGCCTGTCAGCTTGACTTCGGTGCCGGGAAGCTGATGGATCAGCTCATTCTGAGTGCCATCACACAACACATGTGCGACAACCAGATGACCAGGCCCAGTCAGCATGGGTTTATGAAAGGCAGGTCCTGCCTGACAAACCTGATCTCCTTCTGTGACAGGGCGACCTGCTTATTGGATGAGGGAAAGACTGTGGATGTTTTTTACCTTGACTTCAGTAAGGCCTTTGACACCATTTCCCACAGCATTCTCCTGGTGATACTGGCTGCTCGTGGCCTGGATGGGCACAGGCTTTGCTGGGTAAAAAAATGCCTGGACGGCCGGGCCCAAAGAGTTGTGGTGAACGGAGTTAAATCCAGTTGGCGGCCGGTCATGAGTGGTGTCCCGCAGGGCTGGGTTTTGGGGCCACTCCTGTTTAACATCTTTATTGATGATCTAGACAAGGGGATCGAGTGCACCCTCAGTCAGTTTGCAGATGACACCCAGTTGGGTGGGAGTGTTGATCTGCTCGAGGTCAGGGAGGCTCTGCAGAGAGACCTGGACAGGCTGGAGCCATGGGCTGAGCCCAACTGGAGGAGTTTCAATACGGCCAAATGCCGGGGGCTGCCCTTGGGCCACAACAACCCCCAGCAGTGCTACAGGCTTGGGGAGGAGTGGCTGGAGAGCTGCCAGTCAGAGAGGGACCTGGGGGTGCTGATTGGCAGCCGGCTGAACAGGAGCCAGCAGTGTGCCCAGGGGGCCAAGAAGGCCAATGGCATCCTGGCTTGTGTCAGCAATAGCGTGGCCAGCAGGGACAGGGAAGGGATCTGACCCCTGTACTCGGCACTGGTGAGGCCGCCCCTCGATTCCTGTGTTCAGTTTTGGTCCCCTCACTACAAAAAGGACATTGAATGACTCGAGCGTGTCCAGAGAAGGGCAACGAAGCTGGTGCAGGGTCTGGAGCACAGGTCGTACGGGGAGCGGCTGAGGGAACTGGGGGTGTTTAGTCTGGAGAAAAGCAGGCTGAGGGGAGACCTCATCAGCCTCTACAGCTACCTGAAAGGAGGATGCAGAGAGCTGGGGATGAGTCTCTTTAACCAAGTAATAAGTGATAGGACAAGAGGGAATGGCCCCAAGTTGCACCAGGGAAGGTTTAGACTGGATGTGAGGAAGTATTTCATTACAGAACACGTTGTTAGGCGTTGGAATGGGCTGCCCAGGGCAGTGGTGGAGTCCCCATCCCTGGAGGTGTTTAAGAGTAGGGCTGACAAAGCGCTGAGGGATATGGTGTAGTTGGGAACTGTCAGTGAAGGTTAATGGTTGGACTGGATGATCTTCAATGTCTTTTCCAACCTGGATGATTCTGTGATTCTGTGATAAGGGGACTTCAATCACCCTGATATCTGTTGGAGGGACAAGACATCAGTGCATATTCAATCCAGGAGGTTTGTGGAACACGTTGATGATAACTTCCTCCTCCAAGTGACAGAGGACTAAGGAGGAGAGGTTCTATGCTGGACTTCAGTCTCACCAACAAGGAGAGTCTCGTGGGGAGTGTGAAGCTCAAGGTCAGCCTTGGCTGCAGTGACTATGAAATGGTGGATTTCAAGATCCTTAGGGTTGCGAGGAGGGTGCACAGCAAGCTCGCTACCCTGGACAGGAGAGCAGAGTTTGGATTTTTCAGGGATCTGCCTGGTGGAGTACCATGTGGTAAAGCCCTGGAGGGAAGAGAGAACTAAGAAAGCTGGTCAATATTCAAGGATCACCAAGCTCAGGAATGATGCATCCTGACAAAGAGAAAGTCAGGTAAGAACATCAGGAGGTATGAATGGAGGAACAAGGAACTCCTGGACAAGATCAAACACAAAAAGGAAGCCTACAAATGGTGGAAGCAAGGATAGCCTGGGAGGAATACAGAGCACCTGTCCAACCAGCAAGGGATGAGGTTAGGAAATCTAAAACCTTAATAGAATTAAATCTGGCTGGGGAAGTTGAGGGGAACAGAAAGGTGTCTGTATGTACATAGGTGATAAAAAGACTAGGAAAAATGTGGGCCCTCTCTGGAAGGAAAAGGGAGACTTGTTCACCCAGGATATGGAGAAGGCTGAGGTACTCAATGACCTTTTTGCTTCAGTCTTCACTGGCAAGGGCTCCAGCCACACTGCCCAAGACGCAAAAGGCAAAGACAAGGACTAGGAATAACCATCCACTGCAGAAGATCAAGTTCAGGACCATGTAAGGAACCTGAAGGTGCACTAGGCCATGGGACCTGATGAGATGCATGTGTGTGTCCTGAGGAAACTGGCAGATGAAGTGGCTAAGCCACTATTCATCATATTTGATATGTCATGGAAGTCTGGTGAAGTTGCCACTGAATGGAAAAGGGGAAACATAACCCCTATTTTTAAAAAGGGAAGTAAAGAAGACCCAGGGAGCTACACTCCAGTCAGACTCACCTCTGTGCCTGGCAGTATCATGGAACAAATCCTCCTGGAAACAATACTAGGTCACATGGAAAATAAGGAGGTGATTGGTGACAGCCACCATGGCTTCACTAAGGGAAAATTCTGCCTGGCAAATTTGGTGGTCTTCTATGATGGCATTACAGTGCTGGCGGATAAGGGAAGAGCAACTGACGTCATCTACCTGGAGATTTGCAAACCTTTTGAGAGTGTCCTGCATGAAATCCTTGTCTCTAAATTGAAGAGATGTGGATTTGAGGGATTGAGCCCTCCGTGGATAGGGAGTTGGCTGGATTATCACACTCAAAGAGTTGTGGTCAATGGCTCGATGTTTAAGGGAAGACCAGTGACAAGTTGCATTCTTCAGAGGTCAGTGTTGGGACCAGTGCTGTCTAACATCTTTGTTGTTCACATGGACAGTGGGATTGAGTGCACCCTCAGCAAGCTCGCCAGTGACACCAAGCTGTGTGGTGGAGTCGATACACTGGAGGGAAGGGATGTGCCATCCAGAGGGACCTGTACAGGCTCAAGAAGTGGGCCCATGTGAACGTCATGAAGTTCAACAAGGGCCAGTGCAAAGTCCTGCACATGGGTCTAGGCAACCCCATGCACAAATATAGGCTAGGCAATGAGTGGAATGAGAGCAGCCTTGCAGAGAAGTACTTGGGTGTAGCAGTCTATGGAAAACTGACTGGGCTGGAAATGTGCGCTCACAGCCCAGAAAGCCAACTGTATCCTGGGCTGCATCAGAATCAGCATCACCAGCAGGCTGAGGGAGGTGATTCTCCCCTTCTAGTCCACTCTCACAAGACTCCCAACTGCAGTACTGTGCCCAGCTCTGTTGCACCCAAAATAAGGACATGGACCTGCTTGATTCAGTCCAGAGAAGGCCACAAAGATGCTCGTGGGGGAATGGAGCACCTTCCTTATGAGGACAGGCTGAGAGTTGGGGTTGTTCAGCCTGGATAAGAGAAGGCTCTAGGGAGACCTTATAGCGGCCTTCAAGTACTTAAAGGGGGCCTACAGTAACAATGGGGAGAGATATCAGGGAATACAGTGATAGGACAAGGGGTAACAGTTTTAAACTGAAAGAGGATAGGTTTTAATTAGCTATAAGGAAGAAATTCTTTACAGTGAGGGTGGAGAGGTACTGGAACAGGCTGCCCAGAGAAGCTGTGGCTGCCCCCTCCCTGGAGGTGTTTATCAGGCTGGATGGGGCTGTGAGCAACCTGGTCTAGTGGAAGGTGTCCCTGCCCATGGCAGGGGGGTTGGAACTAGATGATCTTTCAGGTCTCTACCATCCCAAACCATTCTGTGATTTTATGATTTTATAACACACTTTTTTTCCCAGCCTCACACATCTAAGTTGACAGACAAGACATCTACACAGGAAAGCCAGAGTTTATTTAAGATTTTGATTTACTAGGATAATATTAAATTAGACAATGACAAGTTGCTGGTCTATATGATGGACTAAACTTCAACCTGACTATGAGCTTTGGACAGCTTCCCCAGTGACTGGGAGAGAAAATGGTAAAGAATTTTAATGTTAATGCAACATAACATATATGCAAAAAAAAACCCCCCTACCTATATGCAAACAACATGTAAATTACTGTAGCTATAAATATTGAGGACAGAAATGCAAATTACTACAGTGATCTGAAAACCATCACCTTAGTTCTGTGACAAAGTTTATTATGAAGTATTAGACAAGAGCATAGGAAAAAAATGAAAAACATTGCTATGTCCTAATATACATCAAGAGAGATCCTCTTTGCAGTCCTGATCACCTTGTCTCATAGAAGATATATTAGAATTACAAAATAAACAGAGAGAATAACAAGGATAATCAGAGCTATGGAAGGTTTTTCCTAGAAGGAGATAACAATAAGGAGCCTTCGAACTGGAAAACAGAGGACTATCATCTGAAGTTATAAAAGCATAAATCAAGAATGCTTATTTAGCCTAGAGTTCATCTCCCTCTCCTTCCTGTGTTCTCAGCTGCCTGTGCTTGAGGCCAGCTCTGCCATGGTCTGGCCTTGGCATGTGGGTCAGGCTGCTGTGGAAGAGCTCAAGTAGGGAACCTCTCCCCTCCTTCACTCAGGAGCTGTGTGTCAGCTCAGGCTCTCACCCTTGGTCCTCGCCTGAGTTTGGCTGCAGCTACACTTGTGCCTGGACATGTATCCCACTGATTCAGACCAGACCTATGGGCTGACTTCCCAGTCTTACCTAAGCCTCACCTCACCATGACGGACTCCTCTGAAGTCCAGCCCTAGGCTGTCTCTGCTCCTCCACTAGGGGCAGCAGGATGGGGCCCTCGTCTGAATGGACACTGCCTTGTCCAGCCTTGCTGCCACCCTCTGCTCTTGGCTCACCTTCCTCATGGGGCAGCCAGCCCTTGCTGCTTCTGAACAAGATTATTTCACCCAATGAAGTTATCAGGTGAGAGATTTGACACAACAAAAGGAGGCACATTTTAAAAAAAATTACATTGCAGAGCTCCATGTCACAGTGCATTACAAAAAAACCCCAAAGATATAAAAGAAAAGCTGCTTAGAAAGAAGTTTTTGAAGACAGAAGTATTAGCAGTTACTAAATATGATGAGCTATGTGCAATCTCAAACTGAGAAACATGCTGACCATAGGTGCAAGTGGGAAGATGACACATCTTCCCACATACCTGGTCCTGGCTGACATCAGAGCAAAACATGGACCAAGGTGGACCTAGACAGACCTTCATGAAAACTCCTGTGTTTCAAGTTTCTGACAGCCATGGTGGAACAAATAATGTCATTCCTCTAAGAAGGCAACTCCCTAAGGCTTGTATCTGTCAAAAAGTAAACTTTCGACTTTCTGAACTTCTTTACCTGCACAAATCTGCTCCTGGAAGGTACTGGGAAAACCGTGAATGAAGAAGTGGAATTAATCGGAGATCACACCACCTTTTTTCCCACCTAAGTCCTGGGGATGCTGGCCATGAGGAACATGATAATGTATCCTGAAAAACATCAAAAGGTCCTTCTCAGTTTTGGGCTTTATTATAAATACTCAGCAGATTTTCAAAGAAAGAGGTAGACTTCAAAGTCTTTATGTTTCATTTAGCATTGTGTTCCACTTTCCCCTAATCATTTGGCATCAGTTTTAGCTAGCACTGGAGAGATTCTGAACTTTTCCTCACAAATAAATCTATATATAAACCTCAACATCAATATGCTTAGAGGAAGTGTGAGGAATAGTATTCTAAGAACCTAGGGAAAACAGATTGTGTCCTTTTTTTTTGCAATAACTAGTCATGAATAGAACTGAGTATTTACTACATATCACATCATCAGCTACTAATTTTATAACTGTACCCTGAATAAAGGGTATCTCTAAATTATTCACTATACAACCGTAATTTAGCTGTTTCCTGTGGCCCCGTACACATTTACATACCTGTCTATTCTAATGACATCACCTCAAAATACAGTAATTGTGAGTGCGATTTAACATGTGATGAAAATTGTTCAGGCAAAACTACATGTTTATGATGAATAATTTAATTTTACTATTTACACATGACTACTTATATGAAAATCAAACCTTATCATGTTTATGATCATATCTACAAAGAGTGAGTATTTAAATATCTACAACCTAATTTCACCAGTAGTTTTACAGAATATAGATTTGAATATGAAATGCTTATAAAAAGTAAAATCGTCAGCATTTATTTTTTAAAAATGAAACACCTCTTCCTTTCTTTATAAAATGTTTTACAAAACAGAGCTAGTGATGATTTTATTTTTCTTAAGAAGTATGGTTCTCAATGAAATATATGTAGTACTCTTAGTATATCAGTAAAATTGTACCTGTTGATCCTGCATCATTTACAATTTTTTAATCTCAGACTTCATACCTTTTCTTACTTGTATCTTTTATAAAATATTACAAAAATTAAGTACACCTTATATTTTTCTAGAGTGTGATTTTTATGTAAGATCTATGCAATTATAAAGCTTTGTCAGCTTGAACTTTACTTGTACATATATGTTAATATATCTTTCAGGTATATAAAATAAAAGATTATGATGAACATCAGTTCAGGTGAACAGTGGGATTTTCATATGTAGCTTCATTTATTTTCTAAACACTGAATCTCTGGTGAAACATTCCATAGACTCAATCCACATAAATGAAAGATTGGCTAGGAAGACTAAACCAGGACATTGTTTTGAATTACATTGTTGTGAAATTTTCATGTTTTCTGTCTGCTTTCAGGAACCTTATTTCAGCTGTGAGTAAACTTGAGGAAAAAGCTGAAATGTGGCAAAAATTTTAGATGCAAACTGTAAGTCTAGATCTGGCTGCAACAGAAAAGTTAACCCTGCCTTTAGACAGCATAACTCTGAATGGTTGACAAAAGCCCCAAATAAGTCCTATCTACTCCAAATTCTGAGTCAGAAGTCTCCTTCACGTGAATAACCAAGGCTATAAGTTAAGAAATAGACTATGGCTATAAGTCATAATGCATTCTAGAGAATATTCTGAGAAAAAGGAATTACCATAATATGAGTTGTACATAATTTAGGAATTCATACAGAGATCTCATTTGGTTTTATGAAGCATTCTATTACCATTACAGGGGGACATCTGAGATAAGAACCACATCCTGGTCTTCAGCGGAATAATTTAATTTACGGTGAGTTATAGACTCATGATGCCTGATTATATTATTTAAACTGAGTGAAAAGACTGGGCTTCAGTAAATTATTATCAGTTCAAATAGAAACTGTAGCTAATTTAGATCAGTTTCGACACCTTCAGAAATAGGATTCAAAAATGGAAGAATGGTTTTTATCCTAAAAGCAAAGTTAGAAATGAAGTAACTAGCAAAATAATTTTAGGATGTGCTGCAGTAGCTTGTCTATATGCATACATATAGAGCCTATTGAGATAAATCTGCTTCTGATGTTGTTGCAGTAGTAATATATATAATAATTTTTAAATTACTTGACTTGCATTAGATGCCAATTTTACTGTGTTTATCTCATTTTTATGATCTGCAGCTCCCATAAAGTGCATAAATCCTAAAAGTTTTCCAGATTATAATCAGGCTTAAAATCTGTGCTATTGATTTAAATATCTGGGCTCTTATTTAAAACCTTCACCTGAAACAATAAAACAAGGCAGAAATTAAAAACATCAAATTCTAAACAAATGTTTACATTTGTAGGTTTTTTAATATTGCTGTAATATTTATGCTGTATATTGGTTTATTTATTCAGTGCTTTTTATTATATCTGAGTATTTTCACCTATCACAAAGCCAAATACGTAGCAAAAAACCCTTTAGAAATATATAAAATAATGGAAATTGTACATTTCCTAGCTAAGAAAACTGTTAGAAGCACCTTGTTGCACGTCAAAGGCATCTTTCACTAAAAATCTGATCAGACATCTGTAGCATTTAATCCAAAAGAGACTGCTACATAATGCTATCACTCTTCACTAAACTTTTAAGTGTAAATTACTGGAAGTAAAAAAAACTTAAAAATAGGCAAAAACATGTACCTATATCTTTCTTCACCAAAAATTTTAGATAATAAATTTAAAAAGGAAAAATATTCTGAGTAAGTCTTCTACCCTTTCTTTAAATATTTTCATTTTAATCGTTTTAACTTCTATGCTGTGGAAATAATCTAGAAGAAAAAGCTTTCACAAAATCCCTATTTCATTGCTCAGCTAAAAGTAGTAATTATATCTTTCAAGGCACAATCTCAGATGGTATAATTTGTCATAGTTTAATTCGCAGCCATATCTGGCAACTCTTTCTGCTCCTATGGAACTGTCTACCAATTAGAGCTCCTCCCATGTTGCTGTCATTTATTAGTTACTTCCACTTAGCTGTCACAGTCTGATTATTCTTCTGTGTAATTAAACAGAAGCTCTTAGCTCTTACCGTGTTGTTGGGATGGTAGTTGAGATGCAAACCACTGTCACACAGGGGAGAGGATGTGCCACTGCTTTGGTCACTGGGGGCACCTAATACAAACATGAATACACCAAAAAATCTTCATTAATCTATAATGCTATAATTCAAATTTGTGTATGCCTGCATGCATGTATTGCCCTTCTCCCACTAGTTTTGTTATATCTAACATTCATTTACTTTCTCCATTCAGCCAGTATCTGTCTTCTGGTTTGAGCACAGGGCCTTTTTAAACTGAGTAGAGGCTCAAGAATTCCTCTCCCGGTGCTTTGCTTGAAAGACTTAATAATCTGTTTAGTAAGGAAAAAAAAAACAAACCAAAAAAACAAAAACCGAAAAACAACCAAAGGGTTTTGCAAATTTGTTAATAAAAGGAATGTGTGTACCTCCTTGCTTGGTTTTCACTTGAAGGAGTTACTCAGATAATGCTTTTATTACTCTCGAATAAGTTCACAGTTCTAAACGTTCTTTTAAAAGTTTAGGAAATTACAGTGCTACACCTCAAAAGTGATATGATAGGATCGATACAAATGCATCTTTGTGTGCATTACCTAGGGTACTCTGAGGTACCACAACCTTTCATAAAAGGGACAAATGTACTTGGATATATTTTTATTTAAGAATATGGTGTTCTAAATTTTTTCTTGTCTCACTAGAATGAAATACCTAGGAGAAAGATAAAGACAGCATTTCAACAAATGATTGAAAAAAAATATTATTTCATAATTTAGTTTATTTAATTCCTACTAAATTAAAATCAAAGGGTAAAAGTGCTGCAATCAAATATTTATTGTTCTGTTGCTTAAAAACTAAGCAGTTCATTTTACCCTCAAGAGCAAGAAGCAGAAGGAAAGCAGTGGTGACAAAAGGCACAGGCTGACATATAAATATGCTTAGATATGCTGCAACTGTCTATAATTATGCACCCACACTTATGATTTAATATAATTCAAGGAAGACAGCTGTCTCCATATGTCTCTCATGGGGCTAGTTGACTAAAATTCGGTTGGACTTAAACAAAATACTAATCATCCCAAAGTAATTTATTTTTAGGTAGACAGACACCTCCACCAAAGCCTCTGAATTTTAAATGGTAACGTTAAGCCGTCTAAATCTACACACACAAGCTCATTTTCACATTTACAAGAAAAACCTCCTTCAGACTAAAATGTTATCTGATGCTGACTGAAAAACCGCTACTGTAAACTGATGTAATTCTACTGTTTTACCTGCAACTTTGCTGATTCACACCAGCCAAATGCCTGGTGATCTGTTTTTCAAGCAATAATAGCATTTTTTGTTTGAAGTGAATGTTACTACAAGAGCTGGCAATACAAGCAGCTTATATTCAGCTAGTAATGTTGACCGAGAAAGCTGCTCTCAATCACCCTCAATGCACACTAGGTTCAAGCATTCATGAGCACTGAACTGAGTTTTCTTTTAGCCAAGTAATAAAGTCTTACATGCACAATCTTCATTCAGTGGCAGTTTGAGAAAAGCAGGTGCTCTTTTCAGAAAGGACACAGTTAGGGTCACTTCTTCCCCTGCATTGCGAAGGACCTGGACCTGGAAGAGAAATAAAGACAGGACACCTTGAAATAAATATGATCAAAATGCATCAGCAAATGAAGGCAATGCCACACAGCTTTCACATACCAGAACATAACTACTTAGCAATTTATTGTAATGACTTTTTTTTTTTTTTTTTAAAAAAGCAAGATGTAAAGTTTGCTATATGTTCATCTGTTGTGTTTCTAGACACACAGATCAGAGGCAGGGGGTATTTGCCTCCTATAATTGTGTTGGTTTTGCACAGTGCTATTGCACAACTTGCTCCCTGACACTGTTCAGCTGTGCCCCTCCTCTTTTCAGATTTGGCATCATCCACACTAGCATGTCTATAAAAAAGGATTACTTTTTTTTCCCCCCCTGAGGTTGTCTCATAAATCTCCAACCAAAACAATGGCAGCAGTTTTCATAGCTGTGCCATAATCCCATGAGTAAATCTTTCCAATGACCAGAGATAAATTTAGCCAAAACGCTCCAGCATGGCTGAGAGATCTAATCTTCCTTACAGCCATAGAGGAAAAGTACCCATTTCAAGTCTTAAGTCTTAGATAAGCACAAGCTTGGGTTTTGCCAAAGGGCAGACTGCATTTTGGACATAAGAATGTGCATAGATTACCTATCCACCTGTGAATGCTTTTAGACTTCCTGTACTGTCCTACAATTGCTCCTGCAGCTCTTGTTCATGCCTTTAGCTTTTGTGTGGGAGGGCTGGTAGACACCTCAAGACACACAGCAGAGAAAGCGGACCCCAGGCAACTCCCCAGAGTGGCACAAAGGAGACACAAAAGCAACTAAGCAAAATGCTATACGTAACAGTGGAGGAGTAACATTTGAATCAATTTAGAATACAAGAGCCAAGAAGCATCAGGTCACACAACTGTGTTTCAGAGAACAACCACTTCCTGTTCTTCTGGCTCTATAACCCAAAACTCTTCAAGGGTTGCTTTATTTTGGGCTTACAAAGACAGAAAATTGCACCATTCCTCTGTCCGAGTGACTGCACTTACATCATGCTGAGAGCCGGCTCACTGGGAGTGATGTTCAAAAAACTGCTACACAGCAACTTATTAGACAGAAGTTTTAAACTAGCATGAATATGCTCTCTTTCTGCTGTGTTTTCATGGTAGTTGGGTAACACACAGATTAACCCTTCTGTCATGCTGCTGCTTGTGAGAAAGCCTTGTAAATAGTATATGGAGGTTTACTGTCCTTAATCTATGTCTATCAACAACCAATCCTATAGATTTATTTACGTGCATGTATATAACTATGTGCAGAGATGCTTTCACATGGAATCACTGCGTTACATTAACTTAAAGCAATTCTTCAAGAAAAAATGTTGGCTTTGCTTTAAACACAATACTTTCTACTTCGCACTAGTTGCTACAGAAGAGTCACAATATGACAGAATATTTAATCTAGTATCGAAACTCACTCTGAAATTTTAGGCTCTTTATTATCTAAAATAGCACAGGGATTGTCAAGGTACAATTTGCAGTGTGGTGTATATTTATATGTATGTGGGCAAATAAATACACACCCATCACAACAAATTTCAACTTAACATGCATGCCAAAAACTTCATCTGTAACATGGGCACTTCCCAGTTCTAGTATGTTTTATATCTTAGAATCCATAAGTGGTGCTTATTTCATAGAAAGAAGATGACTTGCAATCTGCAGAACAGTAGATCAAGGCTCTGAAGTCCTGAACTGCATCACAGAAAATTTAACGTATCCTCAGCATTTATCCTTCTCCTGTCCCGTATGTAGCAATCACACAGTTCAGAATAGTCATAGCCAAAGCAGAAACTTACAGGCTTGTATTCTCTATTGAAACAACAGATGTAGATAGACCAAGAGTAGGAAAAATACAGCTACATTTTGCCTTTTAAAAAATATTTATTTTTACTCAGAAGTGAGGAAGAAGTGAAGAAGTTACAGCATTACCAACTTTAATTTCTAAAGTCACCTTTTAAAATATGTAAGAAAAAGTGGATATTATTTATGAAAGAAGCTGAGACTGTAAACTCTGCCCCCAAATCTTTCTTTTACTAACAGTAAAACAAGCCACGTGTCTATGTGATTTTATTTGATAATATATTGTACTTGTAAAGGCTAGAAGTCACCATAAGTAGTCTACTGTGACCTTTTCCTCTGACCTCTCTCTCTCACAATCTCATAGGATGAAGAATTTAAGCTGGTACACATTTTAGTTGAAATCAGCAGTACTTATTTCACTGAAATATACTGTGGAGTATATGAAGCCTATAATCCAGAAAGTGACTAGATTTTAACATGCAGAATAAAGCTGAATGGAGATTAAAAAAGAAAAATACTAGGTAATGATTACAACAAAGAGGAGACCAGCTATCGATCCCATTTTTGTTACTTTCTAGTCAGTAACAAAGCCATTCTGGGAAATAAGGTTGACTGAAAAAAAATAGGACTTTTAATTAAATTTATTATCTTATTGTATCTTTCAGTTGAAAGCTTTACTGTTATTTTATATTTTTTGTCTTTATTTTACATGAGAAATGAACAATTACTGACCTGTTTTAAATCAAGTATGCCTTATAGGAGTCATTTACTTTGTGTTCTCATTCAATGTGTACACCATTCCATATTGCCATTCCTCCATGCAGAACGAGAATGAGGTACAATAGGAAATCTACACTTACTGAGGAAGATTTTAGTGATATGCCAGAACAACTCATGTTCTTGAATGGAAAATGAACAACTTTTACAAAAAAAGACAACAGCCAAAAGTAACGTGATCAATTGTTATGGAGAGTTATGTCTATGAAAAAAACCTCCCACTTGAAAACAGGAAGTCAAACAGTTTTTCTGGAAGATACAACAGTAGGAATTTATTATAGAGTTTTCCAAATATGAGTGGAATTCTACCAATAGTCGGAGATACTGCCATATCATTTCTTCTGTCTTCCTCATTGCCTAACATCAGTTTAATTCAAAACTTTATAGAGCTGTTTCGGTAAAATGAGAACTGTGTGAATGTAAATGTATTGGTTGTTCAGGCTTGGAAAACGTGCATTCATAAAAAAATCAATTTATCTGCCCAAGTATATCCCTGTGGGCATGAAGAATGGGAGCATATACCACTAACAAAGCAGTAGTGGGCTTTTACCACTGAAGACAATTCATGAACATACAGAAGAAACCAGTTGTCAATCATGATATAATTTTTAGATAAAGAAATGGATAGATATCTGCTCAGCCATCCTGTTCTCTTACTTAGAAGAAAGCTCCCTCACGTTTATTGTACATACACTTCCAATACCTTGTCAATCAAGAACTATCACTGACAATGTATGTGTTCATTATTTCTGGCAGTGATAATTCTACAAGGTTACTTTCAAATATGAGGGAAGTAGCCTATCTAAATTCTTTATATACCCTTTTCAGAGTTACAACATCTTTTCTGATTTATAAAGAAACCTTAGAGCTAGGTTGATCAGAGTAACTACAGATTTTTTTTTGCCAGCACTACCACATATTGTATGTAGGATAAAAATTACTAAAGACTAAAAAGCTAGAAACTATTTTCTACTTCCTGCAAAAAATTAAGCTCTCTTAAGAATTTGCAGTAATTTAGAAGACTTTCAGGATTTTTCCCATTTTGTAATGTCAACTTCCATATTTTGATATATTTATGTTAAATTCCTTAAATTCCTGATATGTTAGTCCACAAATTAGAAAAAAAGGTGGTGTTTGATTTGTTGGTGTTTGCTGTTGGTTTTTTGTTTTTTTTTTTTTTTTTTTTTTCCCGATATTCAGGGGTAATGTGTATTTTAAATAGTAAAATTAGAGAGCTGTGAAGATCTTGATTTTCTGAAGGTTGAAAAGTGTCATTAAAGTAGTACGACATACTTTTCAGTAGATTAAAAAAACAACAGGTTACCAGGAAAAGTTTGCTAATTGTATTCCACACCCACTTCTTATTCTATAGAACTCTGTCCGGACTTAGCAAAAATAAATTTTACTAGGGATTACTCCATACAGTTGCTGATTGATTCCATGATGATCCCATCCCTCACAAAAATATTCCAACAGTGGGTAGAATACAACTAACATCTATCATCTTGTTAAAATTAAGCTATTTATTTGATGAGTGACTAGTCTACAATAATTGCTTTCTTTTAAAATACTAAGTGGCTATTTTAAGAAACAGTGCCTCTATAATAACTGTACAACCAAATTACCAAAGATAATGCTAGCCACAAATAACAATTCTTGGTAGTGCTGGAATAGAATTAGAGCCTTATCCTGTATAAATGATAAAAAAAAATAATTGTCAATATTAATGAAATGTAGTTGTATAAGTGATTTTTAGTTCATTACCGCTAATAGAGAAGACTGCTAAATTTACATCAAATAAAAATATTTAAAACATTTGCCCTAGTATGTGAAAAGATATAAATGCACCTAACTTCTAAAAAGTGAAGAAAGAACATATTTTTTGAAGGAACACTAATTTTGAATAAATATAGAAACATTATATCAAAAATGTAAAAAATAAATGCAGCAACTTCCTAAGTTTTTTTTTTTTTTTTTTATCATATATGAAGAGTTTGGTGAAGGTGAGATAAATTCATAGTGCTAAAACCACGGAATATTTGCCTGACAAAAATTTAACTCAGCAGTAGATCTAATATTTCTGAAGTTTAACAAGATTATACCTCCCCACCATAAACCATGGAAAAACTCCCTTAGGAAGAGATCTGTATGTCTATGCATTTGACCTGACAATTTCTAAAGCATGGCATCCCAGATTGCAGAAAATACACACCAGACACCGTTAAAAATATCTGCTTATTCTCTATATCACTGAAAGGTAATAATCTGTTTTATTTCCAGAGGCTGTGCTGACTATTCAGGATAGGGGTTTTTTTCTATAAAGTCCTAGATTTTTAATACTTTCAAGATCTACAAAGCCTTAGATTTCAGGCATATGAATTAACCTAACTATATCAGGCT